GGGTAGCATTAGCATTGTAAGTAAACATTAGCTTTTCTTTTTTTTTCCAGTAAGAAGTTTTTATTTAATATAATTTTTTGGACAAAAAAATCGTAATCTATCACAATAAATTGCCTTGCTTACAGTATCGCAATATATCGGGATATATCGTATCGTGACCCCTCTGTTATGATATGTATCGTATCGCCAAATTCTTGCCAATACACAGCCCTAATCCCTAACCACTAAGACAACTTTCACTCAATCTGCGTCAGTCATCTTTGGGACTGACGGAAAACTCTTACTGTTAGCTTGTTAGCTGAAACTTAGCAAAATCTAATTATTGGAAGGTAATTAATCTCAAAATGTGCTAACAATAAAGTAAAAATAATAACAACAATGGTTTAACAAAAATTAGCTTCATTAAAGTTAAAATGCTAAACGTAAAATTTAGCGGAAGCTAACGCTAACAGCTAATCCTTTACCTCTGAGATGACTGTTAGCATCACATACCTGTAGCTGTTATCATACTGACGAAGCTAATACGCTATTATTTTATTAACTTTATTTATTTCATTAACAAAAACAATACACATTTACTGTACTTATAACAAAACAATACAAATCAAATAAAATGAAAGGTAGCAGAAAAATAAAAAAATCTTATATCTGCCCCTATTTGCAAAAAATAATATTAATTTCAAACAACAGTAATAATAAAACTGATTATGATGTAATATTTTGCTATTAGATGCTATCTGATTAGTGGAACCATCTGAGCGTCTCCTTCCAGCTGAGGACAAACCTGTTGATGTTAGCTTGTAGCTTAGCTGTTAACTGACTTAAGGTTGGCTAAAACTTAATTTAGCTGAAGCTAATTGGTCCACTAACAGTTTTCAAAGTGGGGGGAAAAAAAAAACTAAACAAAGGTTTGTTCTGCTGTTAGCATATTAGCAAAACTATGCCCACCACAAAACTTCACTAACCTGYAAAAAACAATTAGCGGAAGCTAACACTAAAGAGCTAAACAAGTCAAGTTTAGTGGGTGCTAACACCGGCAGCTAATCATTAACGGCTAAAACGACACTCAAGTTGGCGAAACCTGATTTAGTAGAAGCCGTTAGCTTCAGCTAAAATAAAAAAAAAGAGTGAAAATGATAATCTACCAATAAAAAAAATAGTTCTGCTGTTAGCTGAACGGTGCCGACCACGAAGCTTCGCTACCACTGAACGTAAAAACATTAGTGGAAGGGAAATCTAAAAGCAAGATGACTACTAGGGCTGCCACGATTAATCGACGACTAATGGATTATTAAAATAATCGATGACTAATTTAATAATCGATTAATCGTTTCCTTTTTTTTTTGTTTTTTTTTGTTCTTTACTTTGTTTTTCTCTCCAAACTGCTTTGACACCTTCCACTGCCACGTCTACCTTTCTGTCCTTGACACACATGCACAGTAGTGGTAACTGGGGTAGGCCGTGGACGTCACAAGACATTATACAGACAGGCTCTGGTATCATGGCTACCTGACAACAGAGCTCAAAGTGTGGGATCATTTTAAGAAAATGAAGGAGAAACCTGTGTAATATCTGCAGAGCAGAACTTACCTTCCACAGCWATTATTTTTAGTTAGCATATAGCTAAAATCTAACCATGGTTATATAATAGCAGCTGCATTCTGACGTGATAAGCTBTATGTTTTATATTCAATTAACGTRTGATYTGATYAGTCGACTAATCGAATAAATAATMGGTGATTAATCGATTATWAAAATAATSGTTTGTGGCAGCCCTAATGACTACACTTTACTGTATGAAAAAAAGCCTTTTTGAAAAGACACARTAACTAAATCTATGTTGTAACTCTGATAACAAGCTATTATTTTGAAATATTTCTACGTATTTGTGCTAGTTAGGTTTTAGCAGACCTAAAGTTAGCAAAGCAAGCTAATTGGTCCACTACCAGTTTTCAAAATGAGTAAATAAATATGAAATTAGTTCTGCTGTTAGCTGCTGATGTTAAACTTATGAAACGACTTTTTAATATTTAAACTCTTATTTTGAAAACCCCATCGTTTTGTTCCGCTACTCATCGCTTGACTTCACTAGCGCTCCGGTTCGGTCCGTTAGTTTTTATTATGAATTGTTTTCATTTAAACCCAGACCCAGTTTGATCCGAACCGAACTTGGGTTCCGGTGTGTAAACAATAAAACACAGAAACAGAAACTGTTCCGTTTGAGTGTTTAAGGAAAAAAAAAACACAAGAACCTATTTTATGACATAACTTAAATCAGCGCACGAGACCGGAAATGACCATAGGCTTTCACAGTAAAACAAATCGCCTACAAAAACAGCTAGAAAACAGCAAATTTTTAGCATCTACGATTAAAAATACATTACAAAGCTTTATTTAAAATAACTCAATTGTTTGACATAATCTATTCGGTGGTTTTCCGCCACACCGCTCACGTGTTTGTCTTATTTTGAAAATCCAGCCGCCTTCTGATTGGTTTGACGGAAGCAGACACGAGTTGAGTAAACGGACAGCTCACGTGTGTGTGTCTGAGGTCCTGCACATGGGGGGGTCTGTGTGCGGCGATGAATAAAACATTTAAAAAAATAACGTGTGGCGACAAAGAAAACGTGACCTGGCAGATTACGTCATCAATCAGCAGAATATCTGCTCAGATTATTTAAAGCTCAGATCGTTTTTGATATTTTAGGGATGTCAGATTTGTGTTCACAGATCATCTTTGTGTCTCAAACACACATTAATACACACATTAAATGGGGATTTTTTTTTTAAATAAAAAAATCAATTAAAACTCTATGTAGGATTTAAGCTGGAAAATTTATAATCTTTTGTCTTAAATGATAAAAAATGTTTTTGTTTTTTGATTTTTCACCAAAACTCATTAAAAATACTGCTGACATCATCTATTGTAACACTTTACTCACAGTAATGTTTATATTCCAGGTTARAACTCTCAAACCATTGACTAAGTAGGGATTTGAAGGTTTTATTAAATTATAAAACCCAGCTGTGCTATAAAAAAAGGTTTTTATAAAGATCTGAGTGTCTGTTATTAAATGAGTGAACTGTGTCATTGCGCCCCCTGCAGGTGTCTCTGTGTCACTACGAGCACAGGTGCAGCAGATCAGTGCTGACATCTGCTGGTGACAAATGGCTCCTGCATCAATAAAACCTGCTTGATGACGTCACGTTCACTGAAACGAACCTTGCTTTAAAAATAGGTAAAAGAGCTCTTCTAGAAGGTGGAAATCCCACAGATACTCTTTTTTTTAGGATTTCTTTTGAAATGTAGCAACATGTTTTTACAGTTTTTCACACAAACCCTGTTTTAATAGTTTGAAAGTAAAAAATAAAACCTAAAGATGTTAATTTAAGTCGTCTATATTCTTTATACATCTTTATGCTTTATACTAGTTTCTTCCGTACATTTTTTGGACACTTTCTCCTTCCGCAATTTTTGTGTTATTTCAACAATTTTATACATCAAACGTTC